ACACACACACACACACACACACACACACACACACACACACACACACACACACACACACACACACACACACACACACACACACACACACACACACACACACACACACACACACACACACACACACACACACACACACACACACACACACACACACACACACACACACACACACACACACACACACACACACACACACACACACACACACACACACACACACACACACACACACACACACACACACACACACACACACACACACACACACACACACACACACACACACACACACACACACACACACACACACACACACACACACACACACACACACACACACACACACACACACACACACACACACACACACACACACACACACACACACACACACACACACACACACACACACACACACACACACACACACACACACACACACACACACACACACACACACACACACACACACACACACACACACACACACACACACACACACACACACACACACACACACACACACACACACAACACACACACACACACAAACACAGACGAAAATAGTCAAAACGGATTCAGGGGCCTCAAATCGTAAAAATCCGTCGAAAACTCGAGGTCGAAAAAAATCATGATTCCTATACTTTCCTTATATCTGTATACAGATAGGAAAGTAAAAATGAAGCCTTAGCCGACAAGTTGATCGAATAATGTTCCGGCATTTGTGGAGAGAGACTGTACACAACGTATTTTTAAACCTTATTTTAAAAACTAAACATTTTCCTGAGCTGCGGAAGTTATCTAGAGTTAGTCCAATCTTTATAAATTGCACCAAAAATGATATATCGAACTACCGCCCTGTTACAATCCTGAATAATGTCTCTAAAATATTTGAAATACTTGTGCATACTTTCCTCTCATTTTAGTTTTGCCAAATCATTAGTCCGAACCAACATAGTTTTATTGCTTGTCACTCTACTGTAACTAATCTAACCTCTATAAATCAGTGTGTTTCTGAAGTTTTGGATAGAAGAAGTCAGATTGATGGTATTCACACTGATTTCTTCAAAGCATTCAATAGATTTCACCACAAACTTCTAATAAGTACACTTTTTGCATTTGGATTTCATGGCTTCTTATTAAATATTTTACAGTCATATCTATCAGATACGAGTTTGGTATTAGAGAAAACCATTCAACTATAATTCAGGTTCATAGAATCTCAAATGCAATTGAAAAAGCATTATAAAACAAAAAAGTCTATTCAGTCATCTTCCTCGATGTTGCGCAGTCTTCTGATAAAGTATGGCATGATGGCTTAAAACATAAACTGAATGTGTTACTTCCACATCCATACTCAGAGCTATTGGATTCATACATTTCAGATAGATTCTTTAGATTAAAACAAGATGAAGCATACTCTTAATTGAAAAAAAAAGCAGGATTACCACAAAAAATCATCCTGGGACCCACTTTGTATCTGTTATACACTTGTGATATACCCCAACTAGAACAAGATACAATAGCTACATTTGCAGATGATACTGCCATCCTAAAGATCATGAAGAGGCTGCAAATAAAGTACAAACATCAGTTAATCAAATAAATAATTGGACCAACAGATGGCGTATTAAACTAAACGAAACCAAATCTGTTAATATTAGTTTTGCTAACAAAAATGGTCAAAGAATACCAATTAACATAAATAATGGCCAGGTCCTTTATGCTAACTCGGAAAAATATCTAGGTATTACACTAGATGCAAGACTTCGCTGGAAGGTCCAAAGAAAGACAAGAGTTATAAAATTCAAGAAAATGTACTGGTTACTTGGTAGGCATTCCAGCCTACCTACATATAACAAAATTCAATTACATAAACAAGTTCTCAAACCAATTTGGACCTATGGCATTTAGCTCTGGGGTTCTACCAGCTACAGTAATATTCTAAAAATTTAGAGATTCCAAAACAAAGTATTGATGAACATTGTCGATGCTCCTTGATACATCAGAAACAGCGACCTTCATCGAGAACTTCAAATTGACACTGTTGACCAGACTATCACCAGATTTGCTAGAAGTCACGAACAAACGGCTCCACCAACATGTAAACGTTGAGGCGATCCAGCTTCTTGACAACACGAACCTGACAAGAAGACTCGAGAGAGTGAATCCTTTTGAGTTAGTCAAGTGATTGTGTTAATAACAAAGTAAAGCATTGTGCTGTTTAGTGTTACACGTTAGTTTAGTGTAATTAAGTTATCAGACCCTAAGATATACGAGCGAGTAAAACTTTAGTTTTTAAGATTGCAACCCTAGTTAAGTTAGGTTATAACAAAATTACTCATCGATCAACTCTTGATCAGATTGTAATATTAATAAACGCCCCTTTTGGAGTGTTTTTCTACAAAAAAAAATATCTATCAGGTACTCTATTTTTAAACTCAGGAGAGTGCACCTACATGAATGTTCCATCGCCAGTGTTGCCAGATGGCCAGATCAAATTGTTATACCATGCTATAGAAATTATCGGTTTTTCATTAATTTATCGAACAAACTGACCTTGCTAATGTGACATTATCAAAAGCTGGTAAATTTAAGAGTTTATGGGGTTGGGGTTAGGGTAATTTGATAATAATTTTATTGAAACTAACATTTATCCTATTTTTGTTCAGCTAAAGTTTCAAAAATATTTTTTTTTTGTAATCCTTTCTGATTTTGATCTTCCAATTGTTTTTGTGTACATATTTTTAAAGATATGAATTTTATTTCATCTGTAGGTTTGAAACTTACACATCCATTATCCAATGGATTCCCGCACTTTTCCTATGTAAAGTGACGACCGGTTAAATTTTCTGAAACTAACTGGTTTTCGATATACTGGGTATTAAAGTTGAAAATTTTTTAGATTTTCAAATTGTTTATTTTCAAAATTACGTGCTAGTTTGATTTTCTGTCGCATACAAACGTTTACTATATGATTATTACATTAGTGCAATTACAAATATTTTTAGATACTGGTTTTACTATGACGTCAGGGAAGCATATATTTAAAAACTAAAAGATTATACAATACACATTTCTCATAAGGGGTGTTTTATATAGAGAGAACCACTCAACATAAATTTTTATTTTTTTAAGGATTAATTCATAACCCTGTACCTATTAATTTATTTTTAGGAAAGTTAATACCACTTAAATATGTGTATGGTACAAGCAAAAGATATAGTGTGACTTTAAAGCTTTAAAGCCAGCCGGCAACATACAAAAAAAAATAAGGAGACTGATACATTACCTTTAAATTAGTAGAGGAGCATTCAAGAGATTGAGTATAAGTAAAGGAGCAGCACTGATTCGAGCGCAATCCTTATGGAAATTAACATGGGAAAACGCCAAGGTTCATTCTGGCAATTTTTGTCTAAATCAAGAGGTCTAATGAGAAGGCAAAATGAGGAAACCATCTGGTGACTACCTGCATCTGGCATGTAATTTAATATCTCTGGGAAAGATAAAGACATCCGGTTCTCACGCGAATTCCTGCACCCGGCCATCTGGCGAACACATGGCAACATCTGGTGTCCATACGTGACATGTAATTTAATATCTCTGAGAATGATAACAACTTCATTTTCTCAGGCGAACACATGTTGACCATCTGGCATGTTATTTAATATCTCTCGGAATACTAAAGCGATGTGTATTTTTAGAATGAATGTTAATTAAAATCTTAGCAAGACCAATAAATCACCTTCATGAACGAAACACTCTAGATGCCTATTATTCTTTAAATGTTACCTAAAAAGAATTTATGCAGTTCATTTCCTCACCATCTTATATATTGTTTACCAATATAAGGAGATAGAACTATGGCGCGTTTTATTTTAGAGTGGTATCCCCAGGAGGCCTAATCCACTTGCAATAAAGTAGTTAAGTATTCAATTGACCGACTCTAGATTAAGACTTAGGCACTAATGAAAATTGCATCTTTTTCATGATTGCGAGGATAGGTTGCAGGTGAGGATTATCTTTTTTAAATGGCTCTTTTTGTACCTCATCGGTTCTAGATTGTGACTGGGCTACCAATGGGAAGTGGCATCTTTTATTTCTTTTCATGATTGTGAGGATAGGTTACAGGAAAGGATTATCTTTTTAAATGGCTCTTTTTGTACCTCATCGGCTCTAGATTGTGACTAGGCTACCAATGGGAAGTGGCATCTTTTTAATTCTTTTCAGGATTGACAGGATAGGTTACAGGAAAGGATTATCTTTGTTAAATGGCTCTTTTTGTACCTCATCGGCTCTAGATTGTGACTAGGCTACCAATGGGAAGTGGCATCTTTTTTAATTCTTTTCATGATTGACAGGGTAGGTTATAGTGGAGGATTATCTTTGTTAAATGGCTCTTTATGTACCTCATTGGCTCTAGATTGTGACTAGGCTACCAATGGGAAGTGGCATCTTTTTTAATTCATTTCATGATTGTGAGGATAGGTTACAGGAAAGGATTATCTTTTTTAAATGGCTCTTTTTGTACCTCATCGGCTCTAGATTGTGACTAGGCTACCAATGGGAAGTGGCATCTTTTTTAATTCTTTTCATGATTGTGAGGATAGGTTACAGGAAAGGATTATCTTTGTTAAATGGCTCTTTATGTACCTCATTGGCTCTAGATTGTGACTAGGCTACCAATGGGAAGTGGCATCTTTTTTAATTTTTTCATGATTGTGAGGATAGGTTACAGGGGAGGATTATCTTTGTTAAACGGCTGTTTTTGTACCTCATCGGCTCTAGATTGTAACTAGGCTACCAATGGGAAGTGGCATCTTTTTAATTCTTTTCATGATTGTGGGGATAGGTTACAGGGGAGGATTATCTTTTTTAAATGGCTCTTTTATTATTTTTCTCTAGATTTGTAGCAATAGGAATTGAATACCTAACCACTTTATTACTAATTTTAGCAAAGTAGCATATAATTGAGAAGATTCATCCAATTTAAAACTTACCATCCATAGGATCATCATTAATTGAATAATGACCCCACGGCAACGTTTCATCTGACCCAGTAATTAGAATTCTTTTATCATCTTCATGACTGAGTGCTACTTTTCGTTGAGTTATTGAATGTACTTGATGTTTTTCGGATCGTATTAAATTTTGAGAGACAGTTTTAGATCTAAAACTCTCTAAACATTCAACGTAATCTTCAAAGGTAATGACTGATTTTACCACAGATGACTTTACACCCTTAGCCTTTTTTGTCACGCCGTAATTTTTCAAATTTCTTCAATTTCACTTTGATCATACTCCATTTCCTCAAGCTCCTTCTTCTTCTTCATAATATCCTTAGTCCTATACATTACTTTTGTTGCATACAATTTTGATCTTAAGCCTACATAATCTGTCATTGGTACACCATTATTTTCATCTTTCATTAATCCTAAAACTTTTTTATTTACAAGTGGAATGTTATAGATATTTTGTTCGGGGTAGTCTGAAGTATCGAAATATTGGTAACAGTCTCTCTTCATTGCAACGTAAGGGTCTTGATTGTTAATTTCATATATTAACGAATCGGTGTCGGTATAGAGAACTGTACAATCTTCAAAAACTGAGGACATATAACCATAATGGAAGTCATAAAGAGTTGTCTTCGCCAAATCCAGAATCGTTTGACCGACGTATATAGGTTTATTCAAATATACTTGCAATTTCCTTAACTCAACAGCTACCAAGTTCTCGTTAAATATCGTGCAATTTTTGAACTCTGGTTTTGAAATATATGCCTCTGCACCGTACCGTCCACTCCATTCAGTTAGAAGACGGATATTAACATGTTTCCGAACAGACTCTAAACTTTTACCAAATATAGCATTGTTCATTAGTTTGAATAAGTTTTTCTCAAACTCATTCTTTGCAGCTTTTCTTAAATTTGTATTAAGGTCAATATAAGATTTTAGCCAAGGACTCTGTTTAAATTTCAACACTCGATGAATTTTTGTCACTATTAAACCATGTTCCACTGCTTGCTTCAGAGCTCGATAATGAATAACATATTTTTCCTTAGGGTTTAAGGTAGCCATTAACTTTGTTAGTTCTTTGACAGTCTTCGAAGGTTTGCCAGTTTTAGGATTAATATGCTCTGGACAGAAAGGAATATCTTTATGTCGGTCATGTAGATGTTGTGGGTACTCAAGATCGACTTCAAGTATACACCCCTCTGCTGCATCGTCAGGAATAGACATCACATCAATATTAGTATCTATCCATTCGAATCCGCCATAAGGCAAATATTGAGACATCGCCCACCCATACTGATTGTTCACATCAAAATACATCAAATATTTAGATGGTTTTGTAGAGTCATAATTAGGAATATATTTATTGTTCGCGTGAGCTCTTCTTTTGGAGCAGACCTGACTAAGACCACCTCGGATACCTTTTTCCACAAACAAAAACATATCAGGATCCGTAAGCAGCTCCAGTTCCTGCTTCGTGTACTTTAACATCGCATCCCACGTAAATCCAGGTAAAGTGTAATAATGTGCCGGATCAAGTTTATACGTTTTTAAACAAGTAGTTCTAAACTGCTCAAATATGTCTGCCAGCAGAAGAATATCAGTCTTCATGTATAACTCAACATAGTCATCCAAGTGCAGGCAATTAAATTTGCTCCATACTTCCTGTGCACGTTGGTATAGACGACGAGAACAGGGCTTATCCTCCAACTTGTTGTAAAATGATTCGATTGGAGGTAAGTAGGTTTCATTAAAACGATCGAATGAGTCGAAATAATCATAGGGCATCACGCCTTTCTTTGTTAATAAATTAAACTGTTCTTGAGGTAAATAGGGAAATTGGGACCTAAAATTAGGAAATTCGTCCATGTATGAAGCTAACTTGTCCAAAGAAGAAGCCATGAACCGAAAACTATCGATAAAACGGAACTGAATAGGATACTCATTAATATGTTTTGTAAATGAGATGTACTTTTCCTTGGTGATGGGCAGCAGATCAATGGATCCATTCATTCTGGTTGCAATATCGGTAATAATGAAGTGAGCATCATAACCACTTAAATTATGGAAAACGACTGGGACGGTATGACTATCTTTGAAATTGATATTGCACGCTTCATGGGAGGCGCCTCTAAAGTTGTATTCTGGGATGAGGTGAAAATGATCGCGTACTTTCTTATCTTCAAGTGTGAATGGTTGTTCACATATGTGACAATGAGTTGCTTTTCTAAATTCTGCTTCTTGAGTAGGAGTCATGTGAATATCATAAGGACACCAAAAGACAGTTGCCATATCTTCAGCAAGTTGTGCCATCTCATCAGCGAACCATTGCATACAATCTACACCTTGGTATGATCGATAAAACGAAATGGAATTATCGTAGGAGCACTTAAGATAATAACCGACAGCAGCAGGAATATGGTGTTGGGGTTTTTTAGGATCATTCGTCTGTTTAAGAACACTCTCAAGATCAGCATATACAATAAACGGAACTTTTTCCTTATTTTTTAAATTTTTAAATTTAAGAATGTTTTTTCCTGGTTCGGGCATTTTAATAGCAGTTTCATTTAATTTTTCGCAATCTTCAATATGTCTGTTTAACTTTGATTCAGAACGGAAATAGTGAAGACAACGATCACAAAAGTATTTTGCATCTCCTTCTCTACTTAATTGTTTAGAAAGAAGACGAGAAAGATTTTTAATCCATACATAGTGATATTTTACACCCTCTCCCTCCTCATAGTACTTATCCTGAATAAGCAATAGGTTTACATGCCTTTCTTTCTTATCCTTGGTAAGATAAGTGGGAAGAGTAATAAAATTAGATTTTTGTTTTTGGAGAATATAAACATTAATGGAAACATTATTTTGATTTTCAAAATTAGGAATTTGCTTGAAGGTCATTGGAAATTGAATTCCTTTGAGATTTAAAACAGTCGAGAAGTGTGGGTATTTATACAATCGTTGTGGGTCCTTGGTTACGGGATACAAAGCAGATGTAACAGCCCATGCGAAGCAAGCTTGATCATCGTTCTTAACATTAATACATGCTTCTTTTCGTTTAATTTGAGGAGGAAGTTCTATGTACGAAGATCCAAGTTGAGAAATGTATTTATTTATGTTTACACCTAAATTAACAATTCGTTTTAGTGCCCAGCCACTATCACGTTCTTGAAATTCCTCAAGGTTATTTAGAATAGGGTTATTAACCTTTTCATCAAACCAATTATCAAGATTGGTGTCTCTATAAATTGGAGAATTGGATGTTGTAAAATACTTGTACTCATTAAGTACACTATCTCCTTTTACTATCTCGAACTCACCTCCAAATACTGCATTAACCTTAACAGCAGCATCTTTTTTTAAAGCCGCCTGTATCCTACGTTTAAAAAGGGACTTAGCATCAATCAGGAAAGCTTTTGGATCCTTATGATTCATATTTGATATTACTCCCGTCAGGATACGGCTATTGAATGCAGTATCGGAATCATCCCAACGGACACGTTCTCTAGCTCCCTCAGGTCGTGATGTAAGCCCTGCCCCTTTCTTCAGTGTCGTTTTTATCTGGTTACGATAAGTTTTAATATTCCTAAGGCAAGCTTCCAAATGCTGTTTTTCACCCAGCGTTTTGGCACTTTTCAATGCATAATTTATTTGTTTTATCCCTTTCTGGCACTCTCGTAGTCCTTTTTGAGCTACAGCCTCATCATACCTCGTAGATAGCAGACCGAGAAAACTGGCGATGTAACGAACCAAATCACCGAAGAGTGACATAATAAAACACTTGTTCACAACACAATAATCTGGAACTGAATGAGAAGCGAGTTAAAGAAAAGTGGCTTTATACTTCTTTAGTACATATGCGCAATAACTTCACTTCACTAATCTTCTTCTTATTTAGTTTTTTGGCCTCCACCCCTAGGGTATTTAACCACTAATCTGTATTTTATGTACCTTTATTTAATAAATTTACGAATGTGTCGGTGGATTGTAAGGAAAATCTGAAACAAAATAAATTTGTTTTTTAATTTTTTTGAAAATATAAATAATTTTAAGAAAATACCCAAATTTTAATTCTATCGACATCCTAAAAACCTAACAACTTTTTTGGTATTTTTTCCAATAAAATAATAACTTATACCCCTACCTCAAGATAAACCACCATATTTAAGAATATTTTTATAAACTAGAGTGTCAAATATGGATCTAAAGTAGAAAAAGGTAAAATATTTCTTATTATACTCGAAAATACACAAATTTTAAATCTATCGACATCCTCAAAACGCAACAACTTTTTTGATATGTTATTCGACTAAATAATAACTTATACCCCCACCTCAAGATATACCACCATATTTATGAATATTTTTATAAACTAGAGGGTCAAATATGGATCTAAAGTAGAAAAAGGTAAATTTTTCTTATTCAACTCGAAAATACCTAAATTTTAAATCTATAGACATCATCAAAACTTATCAACTTTTTTGCTATTTTATTCAACTATCTAATAACTTATACCCCCACCTCACGATATACCACCATATTTATGAATATTTTTAAAAACTAGAGTGTCAAATATGGATCTAAAGTAGAAAAAAGGTAAATTTTTCTTATTCAACTCGAAAATACCTAAATTTTAAATCTATAGACATTATCAAAACTTATCAACTTTTTTGATATTTTAGTCGACTAAATAATAACTTATACCCCCACTTCAACATATACCACCATATTTAAGAATATTTTTATATACTAGAGTGTCAAATATGGATCTAAAGTAGAAAAAAGATAAATTTTTCTTATTCAACTCGAAAATACCTTAATTTTATATCTATCGACATCCTCAAAACGTAACAACTTTTTTGATATTATATTAGACTAAATAATAACTTTTACCCCCACCTCAACATATACTACCATATTTAAGAATATTTTTATAAACTAGAGTGTCAAATATGGATCCAAAGTAGAAAAAGGTAAAATATTTCTTATTAAACTCGAAAATACCTAAATTTTAAATCTATAGACATCATCAAAACTTATCAACTTTTTTAATATTTTATTCAACTAACTAATAACTTATACCCCCACCTCAAGATGTACCACCATATTTATGAATATTTTTAAAAACTAGAGTGTCAAATATGAATCTAAAGTAGAAAAAGGTAAAATATTTCTTATTAAACTCGAAAATACCTAAATTTTAAATCTATCGACATCCTCAAAACTTATCAACTTTTTTGGTATTTTTTCCAATAAAAATAATAACTTATACCCCGACCTCAACATATACCGCCTTATTTATGAATATTTTTAAAAACTAGAGTGTCAAATAAATTTGGTAGCGCCATCTACACTTAGAAAGTAAAAAATTAGTAGAGGTTAAATGGGAAGGCAAAATGAGGAAACCCTATGAGAAGGCAAAATGAGGAAACCATCTGGTGAACACCTGCATCCTGTTATAATATGTAATTTAATATTTCGTGAGAAAATGAAGTCGTTAACATTCCCAGAGATATTAAATTACATATTATAACAGGATGCAGGTGTTCACCAGATGGTTTGCACATTTTCCTCTGTCATAGGGTTTGCACATTTTCAAAAAAGTTGTTAGGTTTTTAGGATGTCGATAGAATTAAAATTTGGGTATTTTCTTAAAATTATTTATATTTTCAAAAAAATTAAAAAACAAATTTATTTTGTTTCAGATTTTCCTTACAATCCACCGACACATTCGTAAATTTATTAAATAAAGGTACATAAAATACAGATTAGTGGTTAAATACCCTAGGGGTGGAGGCCAAAAAACTAAATAAGAAGAAGATTAGTGAAGTGAAGTTATTGCGCATATGTACTAAAGAAGTATAAAGCCACTTTTCTTTAACTCGCTTCTCATTCAGTTCCAGATTATTGTGTTGTGAACAAGTGTTTTATTATGTCACTCTTCGGTGATTTGGTTCGTTACATCGCCAGTTTTCTCGGTCTGCTATCTACGAGGTATGATGAGGCTGTAGCTCAAAAAGGACTACGAGAGTGCCAGAAAGGGATAAAACAAATAAATTATGCATTGAAAAGTGCCAAAACGCTGGGTGAAAAACAGCATTTGGAAGCTTGCCTTAGGAATATTAAAACTTATCGTAACCAGATAAAAACGACACTGAAGAAAGGGGCAGGGCTTACATCACGACCTGAGGGAGCTAGAGAACGTGTCCGTTGGGATGATTCCGATACTGCATTCAATAGCCGTATCCTGACGGGAGTAATATCAAATATGAATCATAAGGATCCAAAAGCTTTCCTGATTGATGCTAAGTCCCTTTTTAAACGTAGGATACAGGCGGCTTTAAAAAAAGATGCTGCTGTTAAGGTTAATGCAGTATTTGGAGGTGAGTTCGAGATAGTAAAAGGAGATAGTGTACTTAATGAGTACAAGTATTTTACAACATCCAATTCTCCAATTTATAGAGACACCAATCTTGATAATTGGTTTGATGAAAAGGTTAATAACCCTATTCTAAATAACCTTGAGGAATTTCAAGAACGTGATAGTGGCTGGGCACTAAAACGAATTGTTAATTTAGGTGTAAACATAAATAAATACATTTCTCAACTTGGATCTTCGTACATAGAACTTCCTCCTCAAATTAAACGAAAAGAAGCATGTATTAATGTTAAGAACGATGATCAAGCTTGCTTCGCATGGGCTGTTACATCTGCTTTGTATCCCGTAACCAAGGACCCACAACGATTGTATAAATACCCACACTTCTCGACTGTTTTAAATCTCAAAGGAATTCAATTTCCAATGACCTTCAAGCAAATTCCTAATTTTGAAAATCAAAATAATGTTTCCATTAATGTTTATATTCTCCAAAAACAAAAATCTAATTTTATTACTCTTCCCACTTATCTTACCAAGGATAAGAAAGAAAGGCATGTAAACCTATTGCTTATTCAGGATAAGTACTATGAGGAGGGAGAGGGTGTAAAATATCACTATGTATGGATTAAAAATCTTTCTCGTCTTCTTTCTAAACAATTAAGTAGAGAAGGAGATGCAAAATACTTTTGTGATCGTTGTCTTCACTATTTCCGTTCTGAATCAAAGTTAAACAGACATATTGAAGATTGCGAAAAATTAAATGAAACTGCTATTAAAATGCCCGAACCAGGAAAAAACATTCTTAAATTTAAAAATTTAAAAAATAAGGAAAAAGTTCCGTTTATTGTATATGCTGATCTTGAGAGTGTTCTTAAACAGACGAATGATCCTAAAAAACCCCAACACCATATTCCTGCTGCTGTCGGTTATTATCTTAAGTGCTCCTACGATAATTCCATTTCGTTTTATCGATCATGCCAAGGTGTAGATTGTATGCAATGGTTCGCTGATGAGATGGCACAACTTGCTGAAGATATGGCAACTGTCTTTTGGTGTCCTTATGATATTCACATGACTCCTACTCAAGAAGCAGAATTTAGAAAAGCAACTCATTGTCACATATGTGAACAACCATTCACACTTGAAGATAAGAAAGTACGCGATCATTTTCACCTCATCCCAGAATACAACTTTAGAGGCGCCTCCCATGAAGCGTGCAATATCAATTTCAAAGATAGTCATACCGTCCCAGTCGTTTTCCATAATTTAAGTGGTTATGATGCTCACTTCATTATTACCGATATTGCAACCAGAATGAATGGATCCATTGATCTGCTGCCCATCACCAAGGAAAAGTACATCTCATTTACAAAACATATTAATGAGTATCCTATTCAGTTCCGTTTTATCGATAGTTTTCGGTTCATGGCTTCTTCTTTGGACAAGTTAGCTTCATACATGGACGAATTTCCTAATTTTAGGTCCCAATTTCCCTATTTACCTCAAGAACAGTTTAATTTATTAACAAAGAAAGGCGTGATGCCCTATGATTATTTCGACTCATTCGATCGTTTTAATGAAACCTACTTACCTCCAATCGAATCATTTTACAACAAGTTGGAGGATAAGCCCTGTTCTCGTCGTCTATACCAACGTGCACAGGAAGTATGGAGCAAATTTAATTGCCTGCACTTGGATGACTATGTTGAGTTATACATGAAGACTGATATTCTTCTGCTGGCAGACATATTTGAGCAGTTTAGAACTACTTGTTTAAAAACGTATAAACTTGATCCGGCACATTATTACACTTTACCTGGATTTACGTGGGATGCGATGTTAAAGTACACGAAGCAGGAACTGGAGCTGCTTACGGATCCTGATATGTTTTTGTTTGTGGAAAAAGGTATCCGAGGTGGTCTTAGTCAGGTCTGCTCCAAAAGAAGAGCTCACGCGAACAATAAATATATTCCTAATTATGACTCTACAAAACCATCTAAATATTTGATGTATTTTGATGTGAACAATCAGTATGGGTGGGCGATGTCTCAATATTTGCCTTATGGCGGATTCGAATGGATAGATACTAATATTGATGTGATGTCTATTCCTGACGATGCAGCAGAGGGGTGTATACTTGAAGTCGATCTTGAGTACCCACAACATCTACATGACCGACATAAAGATATTCCTTTCTGTCCAGAGCATATTAATCCTAAAACTGGCAAACCTTCGAAGACTGTCAAAGAACTAACAAAGTTAATGGCTACCTTAAACCCTAAGGAAAAATATGTTATTCATTATCGAGCTCTGAAGCAAGCAGTGGAACATGGTTTAATAGTGACAAAAATTCATCGAGTGTTGAAATTTAAACAGAGTCCTTGGCTAAAAT